ATACATGAGAGATTACTAGTTGTCAGGTTGGTGATAGGGATATACTTCGAGTAACATGTAAGGCCATGTCTAACCGAAGCAGAGCCAGATGGCTCTCTTTGACCCTATAGCATTCCAAGAAATTAATATTTTAATGAACAGTATAGGGCCATATTTCTTACCATCTCTAATCAAAGGGTCAGAGGACCACATGCCAAACATAACCCTGTAACAAAAAACCATCTTCAACCGAGGTCCAAAGGGCTATAGGGTCAAATATAATTTAAATTTATAGACTACAACAATTTAAATTTAAAAACTACAACGAAAATTTAAAAACTACAACGAAAATTTAAAAACTACAAGGACTTAAATTTATAAATTACAGCTACTTAAATTTAAAGTCTATAATCATCATCATCTTCATCATTCGACATTGTAGGTGTATAGTCGGAGGTAAACAACTGTCGCTAGGCCATAATTTCCCTCTTTTTCCTATCAAAATAGGCCTTACTTATTGGAGTGTAATCCGAAGTGTTCCTTTGCATAGTCCTATCATCCATCTCTTCTTGTATTTGTTTGGCCCGTTTTTCATGCCTACAGTTCCTTTCTTCCGGAGCAATGACATTTTGCTCTGCCATTAATTGCAATGACGTCGCCACTTCCTGTTGAGCGGCGTAATCATCCTTTGCCTTGCCCTTTTCCTTCAACTTTCAGGCCTTGTTTCGTCCCACCTTCACCCAAAGACGGATTTTCTACCCTTGTTTCTTGAACGGTAGGAGATCCATCTTCATCCCCATCTATAGTTGAGGATGCAGTTCCGAACATCGGTGTAGGACCTACTCTATGTTGAGGTAGATCTTCAAATAACACCCACCCTTTACAAATTTCCCAACAACCGTGATGCTGAAAGGATTTCGAGCTGCCTTCCATATACAATTCCTCCGTTTGGCGTACCTAGAAAATATAATTACAAAAATTAAAGAAAATTAATTTATGAAATTAAATGTAATATAATTAAAGATTTAAAATAAATTGTGAAAACACTTACTTCGTAGTAGTAATTGGTGCCGCTTTCATGTTTACTTGTGGCTGCTAACAGTGCTTGATGCCATTTATTCAAACTTGGATGAAAATATTTCTACCATCTTGAAGAACAACTCTCGTGGTTTTGGGTATTCGATGAAGTGGTGCCTTCTCAGAACTCATAGTATTTTTTGGACACACGAGTCCAAACACCTTCACTTGTTTGAGAACTCCCCCTCACACTATCTTCTGAGACCATCTATAAGACCTGCAAAGAACTTCATCTTTTTTTCGGGTTCAAGCCTTACCTTTCATTGCAGATGAGACCATTTGAAAATTATTGAAAAAATTGAAGGAAAGATTATTGGAAGAGGTAAGAAAATAGAATGTGAAGAATTGAAATAGAATGAAGTGAGATAGTATGGAATGGTGAAAATTATATGACAAATGGTGTAGGAATGATTTAGATATTTATAGGAAAAAAATTAAGAATTTTTTTAAATTTTTTTTAAAAATGTTGGCAGAAAAAAAAAAATTCAAATCCAACGATAACTGACGTCAGCTAGCCGTTGGTTTTGAATTTGTGGCCCGGCCTAGGGCTGAGTGGCTGGGTTGCGCCAGCCGATTTTCGGGCTATTTTCAGCCCTCTGGACCCTTCGGTTGGAGATGGCCTAAGAATCTCCTCTAAGCGTGATAAGATGAATGGCCCTTAAAACGCCCTGATAAGCTTTTCCTGCCCTCACTCACTTCATCAAACCTATTCCACATATACACAGGCACACACCATATTTTCGAAATCATTAGCTCCATGGTACATGTTAGGTTTCTTCTCGTTTCCTGACTAGCCAGGACCAGTCGGACTTGTTTACTAGAAGAAACAAATGACACCAAACGGACGTATAAATCACTCTTTTGTATATCTCTTACAAAGACTGGGACTAAAGTGAGTTGAACTTATTCATTTTTCCATGTGCATTTTCTTGTCTATTGAAATTTAAAACAACCCCTTCTATGGGTTCTTTGATCTAAGTGTCATTAAAAGCTAGATAGTTTCTGAAGCTTCAGTACTATCTTTCATTTCGCTCTGATCATCAGCTTCGTTAATCACATAACAAAATCTTTAGGCTATATTTTGATGCATGCATGGCTTTCTTAATTCTTACGCTGTTCAGTCCCGCACAACATCTTGGAATTTTTGTTGGTGTTGTGTTCTGGTTATTGCTTAGTTGTAGCTTCTGCTTTGCTGTCTCAATTGCTTAAAAAGTATCAAAGACTCGCTTAACGACCCTCTAGGCTACTTAAACTCTTCATGTGATTTCAGCAGCAAGACTGAAGGTTTCCCTTGTAACTTTATTAGAATCGATTGTTGGCACCCTCACGAGAGCAAAGTTTTAAATATCAAGCTCTCGGATTTGGGACTCAAGGGCCAGTTTCCTCAGGGTGTAGCAAACTGCACAAGCTTAACAGGCCTAGATCTTTCAAGAAACAAGCTTAACGGACCTCGTCCTACTGATATTGGTAGATCCTTCCGTTCCTTACTTATCTTGATCTCTCATCCAACAGCTTCTCCGGGTCAATCCCAGCAAATCTTTCCAAGTGTACCTATACGAATGTGCTTATGCTTGATAACAATAAGTTTACGGGTAAAATTCCTCCACAACTTAGCCAGCTCTCTAGGCTTACAAGATTTACCGTGGCCAACAATCTTCTGTCTGGTCAAGTCCCAGACTTTGGTAATGCTACTATTTTTATTACAACAAACAATAGTGGACTCTGCGGTGGCACGTTGACGCCTTGCCGGTCGTCTCAAGTGACGACGTCCATTGGTCTAGTTAAGGTTTTGAAGTCGCAGTGTTGTGATAGCAGCAGCAGCTGGTTTTGGATTTGCTTTTCCTTTGTCTTTCTGTTTTTCCTTCCAAGAGCTCCCAGTGTACGTAGTTTGTGGGTCTTTTATCGAGGATTTAAACCGAGGTAGCCAGCAACACTGTATTCTACTTTCATGATATGTTGTAACTTATTTGTTTTTTTTTTGAAGCATGTTGTAACTTATTTTCTTTTCATATTATAACAAGGAGATTAGTAATACCAGGTGAAGTGTGGTTGTCACGCTAAAAAATTTCTTGCAAGTATAATAGCACAACTGTGCCCCTTGAAGATACACACATGATCAATTCGGCCAGACGTCTCTTTGACTTGATAACTAGTATCGCCTCCCTGCCCAGCTCTCATTTGTCCCTAAAGTTTGCAAATCATAATTTATAAGAGAAAATTTTCACAATTGACATATGTTAATAAATGAAACAAACTTTGCAAATTATAAGAGAAAATTTTCACAATTGACATATGTTAATAAATGAAACAAACTTTGCAAGTAGGGAAGTGTTATTGGCACTCCAAAAATCTCATTCTACACTCTCACAAGTGTATTTTTCTTTTCTAATATAGAAAGTTTGGAGTGTAGAATGAGATTTTTGGAGTGCTAATAACAATTCTCTCGAAGTATATTAATAAATTCAACAATGATAAGAGCTCAAGAAATAACAGAAGACCCAACAAAGGGAGATGTTTACAACTTCGGAACTGTAATTCTTGAGTAGGTGACCGGTGAGAGAGCTACCCACATTTCTAAAGCCCCTGAAGACTTCAAAGGAGAGTCCAACTATTTTGGACGTATACCAGCTTCTAAGAGCCATTGGGGAGAAATATAACTTCACAATCGAAGATGGGATGATGATGCCTACAGACAATGGCGATGGTCACTGTAAAGGCGAACTTATTGTTGCTCGAGAGATGATTGAGATGACCTGAATAAAAGGTGAGAGGTATTAGTATGTGGCCGGTACCCTTCTGCAATTATCCGCTTTTGTGTACAGCAATGAACATTATTATTGCACTAGCAGATGAGCACACACTTTGTGTGTGTGAACAATTTCATTTTATTTTTTGTTTTTGATTCAGGAGTGATTAGTTTTCAAAATTTAAAAAAGAGTATGGGACCTCTCTTCACTTGGAAGTGAGAGGTTTTAAGTTCGAATCTTGTTGTGTGACTTTGCCGAACTCCTCCTCTCTTTAGTGTAAAAATATCAATGTTGTAAAAAAAAAAAAAAAGTATGAGACAATGATGATGCATATTTTTTTCTTAATATAGGGTAAAATAGGAAAAATAGGGATATGATTATCATTTTATTAAAAGGTACATAATTATTGTTTTGTCTTTCTTATGTAAACATTGTGTATTAAAAGTGAAGGTAAAATATAAAAAATAGGGATATGATTGTCATTTTCTTAAAAGGTTAACAAGAAGAATTTTCTTAATAGTAGTATAGATATATGAGTTATGCTCGTTTGGACCTGCTTTTCTTCGACATACAAATGTAAAATCATCATGTTACAATTTTAAATTTGTGAGGTACTTTTATAGCTGCATTGTTTTAAGGTTCTTGTTCTGCTCTATATGCCCACTCCACCATTTTTAGGGAAAACTATTAACAGTCATGGAGGAATTGCAAATTTGAAGAACATAGAGAAAACTTAGAGAGAAAGAAAGATTTATTTCTGATATATTTCACAAAGAAACAGTTATTACAATCACTTATCTAATACAAGGAGAGAATGCTATTTATAATCTATATAATCGGTTCAACCATATACTGACTTATCTCCTAAGCCACTGTTGATGTGGCACTTTGAATGACTTGGCAACTATATCCAATGCCCCCCTCCTCAATCTTAGATGGGATAAGCTAGCTTAAGATTGAAATAGTGGCGAAGGAAATCAGGACGATGTAAACCTTTGGTGAGCACATTGAAATATATTGAACCACTAGATCTCCCTTCTAGACCCTCTCTCGGACAAAATGGAAGTCAGTTTCCAAATGTTTGATTCGAGAGTGTTGAACCAGATTCAAACTAAGGGGTATGGCTGACTGATTATCATAATGAATCAAGGGAGGAGAAGATATGAATTCATGGACATCTCGAAGAATTAATCTGATCTATGCTATATCAGCAACTGTATGAGCAAGAGCTTGATACTCTGCCTCAGTAGCTCCTTGAAACAGAAGCTCGCTTCTTGGATTGCCAAGAGATAGGATTGTCCCCAAATAAACCACATATCCTGCAATTGACCGTCTCGTGTTCAAATCAGCAGCCCAATTTGAGTCACTGAAAACATTCATTGTCATTGAAGTTCCTGATGCATGTGTGAGACCACAATTGAGAGTCCTTTGCAAAAACTGCAGAATGCGTTTTACCATGCCAAAATGGACATATGTGGGTGAATTCATGTACTTACAAACAGTGTTGACAGCAAATGCAATATCTGGCCTAGTGAAGGTTAGATATTGCAATGCTCTAACCAAACTTTGATATTGTGTTGGATCAAGAAGAAGAATACCCTCAGTGTTAAGAACTTGGTTGTTAGGTTTACAAGGTTTTGAACAAGGCTTGCTGTCATCCATCCCAGCCTTATGTATAAAATCCTTCACATACTCAGCATGATTAACAAATATATCACCATTGGACTTATATTCTACTTGAAGTCCCAAAAAGTAAGCCAATTTACCCATATCTTTGAGACCAAAGACTTTAGCCAAAGTGTCTATCATCGATTAAACTTGTGTAGAACTAGATCCTGTGATGATAATATCATCAGCATACAAAAAAAGAATGACCACATCATCACCAGTTTTCTTGACAAACAAACTAGAATCTGAAAGAGATGGTTGAAAACCCATTGCTTGCAAGTAACTGGTAAATTTATCATTCCAAGCTCGAGGAGCTTGTTTAAGCCCATATAAAGACTTTACTAACTTGCAAACATTTGTAGGATAATCAGGATGCACAAAACCTCTAGGTTGAGACATATACACCTCTTCATGCAAGTCACCATGAAGGAAAGCATTTTTTACATCGAGTTGCCTAAGTTCCCACTCATGAGTTGCAGCTAAAGCTAAAATCGATCTCACAGTGGTGTGCCTAACCACTGGACTAAAAGTCTCTGTGTAATCTAAACCTTTTTGTTGACTAAAGCCTTGAGCAATGAACCTAGCCTTGTATCTGGATATTGTACCATCAGAATTCCTTTTAATTTTATAGACCCATTTACTGCCTATAACATTTTTACCAGAAGAAGAAGGAACGAGAACCCAAGTACCTTGAGTTTGTAGTGTATCAAATGCTTCTTGCATGGCAACTTGCCATTGAGGAATCTGAGAAGCTTGTTTAAATGTTGTAGGTTTTGAAGCATCAATAATGTTTACAATAAATGTAAATCCTCCTGAAAAATGATGATCTTCACTCAAATTTAATGACTGTACTTCAGGAAAAATGGCAGTGAAAGCTGAATAATCATTCCTGGAAATTGTACCAGTTTTCAACCGAGTTTGAATCCCTTGTGGAAGAGAATTAGGTTGTGAAGAGGTTGAAATTGCAGAATCATGACTTGGCAGCTTAACTTGAAGCTGATTAGATTGGAGGACATGCAACATTGGGGTATGAGTGGAAAGAGTAGCATTTGAACTATTTTCAGCAATAGAACTAGAATCCTGAGATGCTGACATTGACCTATGAGAACTACTAGTTTATGAAGTTGGTGTAGATGAAGGAGTCACTGTAGGACTAGGGATGATTGAAGAAGGCAATGTAATAATGATAGGTCTTGATCTCAATGTATCCGCAGATTTACATTGAGCAGAAGTCTGAACAAATTCCAAATCCTTGTATGGAAAACAAGATTCATTATATTACACATGCTGTGAAATAAGCACTTTTCCAGTCATGATATTATAACATAGAGCACCCTTATACCCTGAAGAGTAACCTATAAAGACATACTGTGTGGATCTAGGTTGTAACTTATGAACATTATAAGGCCTCAGGTAAGGATAGATGGCAGAACCAAACACTCTCAATGATCCCAGCTCAGGTTTTTGACCAAACAGCCTACTAAAAGGAGAATCCGTTTTAAGTACCTTACATGGCATTCTACAAACTACACAGCTCTGTTGCACCTTCAAAATTGAATTGAGCAGCGAAAAATGAACCCAACAAAACCAATTGAGTAGCGAAAAATGAACCCAGCATCAAGAGCGCAAACGATTCCTGGCTCATGATACCATTTAACATTCATGGAGGAATTGTAGATTTGAAGAACACAGAGAGAACATAGAAAGAAAGAAAGATGTATTTATGATATATTTCACAAAGAAACAATTATTACAATCACTTATCTAATACAAGGAGAGAATGCTATTTATAGTCTATATAGTCTGTTCAACCATATATTGACTTATCTCCTAAGCCACTGCTGATGTGGCACTTTGAATGACTTGGCAACTATATCCAATAAAAACTCTCTGCTTTTTGTCCATTTTGGTCTAAACCTAACTTGATCATATAGAAAGTGCATAAAAGTTGAAAAGACAGAGCAAAGGCATTGCCAAAGTGTTCAGTTCGCACACAACCATACTTACATGACACAATTCAAAGTTGTAAGTACATTGAGTTTTATGATGAACAACTATGTACCATATGTAGAAGAGCAGTGTAAGAGTGATCGTAATATTTGATCACTTTATGAGGCGGTTGATCTGATGTTAAACCTTAAAGAGACCATATTATACGATTACTATGTGCCTTTTCTGCTGATTCAGTTTCTGCATGTTTATATCTTTTCACTTGAAAGATTCTGAAATCATTAAACAGCTCCCAACAAAGGGAGAGTTCATATACAAAACCAGCAAGCAAGAGTATCCTTTGCATATCTTGTTGTCTACAAAGAGTCAAATACTGCAAACATATTTGATCTTACACCTACAATTTTATTCTCTTTCTACTTTGAAGTTTTTCATCTCCTTGTTCCCTGTAAGTGCTCAAAGTTTCACTTCCACTTGCTTCAGACTCGCCGCAACATCCTTAACATTTTTTTATCTTCTACCGACTTAATCAGTTTCCTAAACTTCACATCAAGTTTCTTAGCATCTTTGTCATATAAAAGGCATATCCGACATGCACTTTGTCACCTTCACTTCCGAGGAGCTAACAGGTATGTTGAAAGGATCTATTTGGTAGAACTAAACAGACACCTCAGCGATAGTACCAAAAAAAGCCGTGGATGAGAATGACTTTCCTTCTTACTGGGAAGGTAGAAAGTATAGTCTTACTCAGATGCCAAAATTTCGATTTATGATTAATTAGCTGTATTTTAACATTCCCTAATCTAGATCATGATTGAAGTAAAGCACATTTCCGTTAATGGTAAGCACAAGTTACACAACCAATAAAGAATGCTTGGGACGTATCAATATGTTTCCATTACTACATAATCACATATCTCCATCTTCACAAACTCAATTTGCACACTCGAAAAATAAGGAGGAACAAGAAAAAAATGAAAATCTGTTTCGTTCAAAACACCCACAAGCTCAGAAAATAGCAAAACTGTTCATTACTCAGATGCCAAAGTTTTCCAATTTTTCGAGGTGGTTTTTTGAAGTTTTGATCACTTTCCCTATTGTAAGAATTCGAAATTCTGTGAGTTGAAGCGGTATAAGGAGTGAGGGCTCAAAGAAGGATGAAGAAGGTTGCGGAAGAGGTAGAGAGGAACATGAAGGCTCCAGTGGAGGTTGGCATTAGTGGTGGAAATGGCAAGGGAGCTCAAGGGGATGAACAAAGGAAGAAGAGAAATAGGCAAGAAAGTGAGAAATTTTGAGAAATGGGGAATTGGGTAGTGGGTATTGCAAGGGAGGTGGTGATTATCAACTTTTGATTATAATTATCATAAATATAAAAAAATGCCTATGATTCTATATGGGGTCTAAATTTTGATTATTATTCTAAATTTCTTCGTAACCTTTTAGTATCATTCTCAATTGCTCTCAACATTTTTAAATATTCCAAACAAGAACTCAACGTATTGAAAATGTCATATCCATTAAGTCTCAATTATTTTTCCGTTAAATGTACATGTGACAACAATGGGTCCCACTTATTTACTTACTTCGACACTAAAATAATAATAAAAATAACTTCAAAAAAGACATGAAGATGAAAAAATAAAAGTAGCAAATTCACAAATAAAATAGCAAAACAAAAATGAAGATAGGAAAATCTCCTAAGTTCCTAACAAAAAAGAGGGTTAAGAATTCAGATAGGGTTTCAAAGAGCTTGTTATTTCTCATGCGATTCCCTCAGTTGCAGATTTTCGGCTAGTAAAGCTTCTAGTTCTTCTTTGTGGACGGTGAAGATGGTAGTGGTCACATCATGACATCATACCATTTCAACAACCCCCACGACTTTCTTCTCGATGTTGGCGGCTTGAGTTGTAAAGTGAAATTTGTTGTGGTGCATTGAGTTTGGAGGTGATAGCCTGAAGAGGGTGATGGTGATAGTTTGTAAAACCCTTCCCCAAAATTTCTATGTAATCTAAAAAATTCCCTAAAAGTTAATAGAATCTTGCAATTTGGTCCCCTATCTTAATCTAATTCGGACCCTCCATCTAGATTTCCTTCATTCCTCACGCTGCCACGTGGCAGCCTCCTAACTCACTTATATATCTTTCTCTATCTCATTTCTTGAGTCTCTCTCGAATATCTCACTCTCTCAGCTTAACTCTCACTCTCCCCTTCCCCAATCAAACCCGCACCCACGATCACCCAATCGAACCCCTCGACGGTGACGCAGCAGCACCACCACCATCGTAGACTTTCTCTCTTTCTCCCTTTGTCTTCGTGAAGCTCCAAGACACCCAGAGGGCACCTAACCCAGGTTTGGTGAACCCGTGGGTTTCGAGCAGGATTCCGGCCACCTTTGGCCATTCCACGACGGATCTCAGGTACAAAACTCATCCCTCTCGTCTCTACCTTCATTTTGGTATCTAGATCGGAGTCTAGGATGGTGTTTTGGCATTGAACGGAGCACGAGAGGCTCCAACCTCCTTTCTCAGCGAGAAATCCAAGCCTTTGTCGCATAAGCCTTCAAGCCGTTGCATCTAAGCCCAAACCCTTTTGGGCAGCCCAACCTAATCCCCTTAAAACCTAACCCCAAAACCCTTTAGAACTTAACCCTTGGGCTAGGCTTTCAAGCCCAAAGCCCTTTGATCCAAACCCTTGTCTCTCAGGTATTCGGGCCATGTGTGGAACTTGGGCCTTTGGCCCATGAAACTTAAGCCCAACCCAAACCTTTTTATTTATATTTATTTTATTTCTTTTAAAAACCCAAATTCTTAGGCTGGGCCTTAAGCCCAAAACCCTAAACCTAGTAACCCTAAACCTTAGGCCCTTGGGCTAATCCATTTGGGCCTTCGCCCCGTTAGCTTCAAGCCCAAACCCTTTTTTGGACCCAACCTGGTCCAACCCAAACCCTTTTTGAACCCAACCAATTCGAACCCAAACCCTTTAAGCCCAACCCAGACGGTTAACTTTGACTCGACCCGATCAACGGTCAACGTTGACCGGTCAACAGTCAACGTTGACTTTGTTGACTTTTTTTAGGTTTTCGTCCGGGACCCCTCTTAGGCTAATTTTGACGTTATGGACTTGTTTTTTCACGTTCATTTTCCCAAATTCAATCATTTGAATAGAGTTTTATTAATTGGACACTTTATGTGTTTAGGTGCGAATATCAGCAGCGATTCCGTCATTCCTATTTCGTACGGCTCTACTAAAATGCATGTTTTAATAGTAGAAATGCATACATGAAAAGCATGATTTAATGATTACGTTTTTTAAAAAGTTTTATGACCTATTATGCTTACTTAGAATATTTTGAATTACCATATTTTATCGAACTCATGTTCTTTATAGTATAGATGATGGATGACTTTGTACTGCTTATGAACATGCTTTTGCACACTTCTTTATCGTATAGATGATGGATGACTTTATACTATGAAGATGTTTTAAAGATATATATACCTATGTTTGGAAAAACTATATATAATATTTTTGTGCATATATAGTGGTCACTGTTCTACCTACGGGTGATGTTACTTATATTGCCTTCGGGTGGGCGTGCGTAGGGCATTGTTCTGTGCATATGGAAAAATATATTTATATTGCCTTCGGGAGGGCGTGTGTAGGGCACTGTTCTGTGCATATGGGAGATACTGATATTGATACCACTAGTTAGCACATTATATACGAGATATGTTTATGAAAGGTTTTATGGCATGCTAGGGTTTCGGAAAAACCTACTATATATTATGCAATTAGTTTTCATAAAATTTTGGGGGATAATATGTTGATAACTGTTTCAGCATTATATATATATATATATATATATATATATATATATATCAACTTGGTCCACTCATGTTTGTTTTGCGCCCCTTCAAGACTTAGACTTGAGGCGTACGATCCCAGCGTCAAGGCACTCCTGCAGTAACATTTTCGAGTCCTCTAGATGTAGGACCCACTCCTTTGTTCATTCAATTTTATATTATTCCTTTGTAGTGTTCTAGTTAGTTGTATGCTTTGAACACGTTCTTCATTTGCATATTAATTACATTTAAATTTGTAAGTCTTATTTATTTCTTATTCTCATGCATCCTAATATGGCTTCGTCACCTTCGGGTGTTGGCGAGCATGTGCCTACCTTGGTGTTTAGGAGAATATCAGGGTCAAGTGTGTCACAGTTACTTGGTGGAGGTCATGCTTCCATGACCTTTATTGATGTTGGAGACAAAGTAAGCCCTAGTTAATTTAACATATTGTGTAACCATCATGTAAGCGTATAAATGATGCAATTACGAGCATTTGTATATTCTTTTCACATTTTTCACATTTGTACATTAATAATTACGAATTTTTATTTATTTTGAACTCCCTCTAAAATATTGTTCACGAGGGCTTGTATTGTTTTAAAAATCTAAACGACGATGTACCTATCGTCAAAGCGTAGTGGATGCGATCACAAGTATTTGCATTTTTTTTTTCCATTTTTCACATTTGTAAATTAATTATTATGGTATTTGTAACGTGTTTGGTATTTAAATTGATGTGGTATTTTTAATGTGCTTTGAAATTTTTTTAATTTCACTTCTGTGAGACTATATACTATGCCTATTGTAGTAAGATTTTTTAGTAGGGAAATGTTGTTGACACTTCAAAAATCTCATTCTACACTCCTCACAAGTGTATTTTTCTTACTAAATATAGAAAGTTTGGAGTATAGAATAAGAATTTTGAAGTGCCAATAACAATTCCCTTTTAGTAATTTAAAATTATCAAACTAAGTTTTTTGTAATCGGGTTGAAACGGGCTACCTGCGGGTAAACATGTCGTGTGATCCGATAACGACCTGATTAGTTAACATGTTGACTCAAAATCCGTTATTTTGTTGTTTCAGGTCAGATTAATAGACCGTGTAAAAAATTGCCAAGTTTACGCAAATGTGGTACGAAGATATAATCTACCTAATATTTTCCTAGATATAAATATATTTTCATTTTGGTTTTTTTTATTTTTTCAGTTAAATAAATAAAAAGTAGCGAAAATTGTCCATACGCATACAATCATAAGAGGGCATAGGAGGGATGATACTCTAAATTACTTCTTCAATCTCTTTTAATTTAGTGAAGGCATGTGCTAAGAAATCTGGTATTTTCTCATTCAATTGGGTGCGGGACTTACCAAATCTGGAACAACTTGAAGTAGGGAATGTAGGTCAGTGGGAACGTTTAAAACTTTGAAGATATAGAAACCAAACAGAACCCAACGCAATTTCCTGCAATGTTCTCTAACTTAGAAATAATGGAGTTGAGTAAGCTACCCTTGTTGAAAAACTTGTGGAATCCACCTCAAAACATCATGGTGTTTCAAAATTTAAGAATGCTCCAAGTTATGTAGTGTGGAAATTTGCGATATGTGTTCCCAAAATCTCGTGAAACTAGAATCTATGTATACAAGTGATTGTGCTATAGAAAAATAAACATTAAGATGATATGGTTTATGCTAACGACATTTTACACCTTTTCATTTTAGAATGGTTTTCAAATAGGTTGCACGATTTTATTTTACACCAAGATTTCAAAATTGCATCAATGTATATCTTTGGTTTGGTCAGTCATCTCTTCAACCCTGAGGTTTCAAAATTGTTTCAATTTATTCTTTTCGTTTTGTTAAACGTTTTTCAACTGTTAACTGTCGGTGTGAAAAGTGCGGAACAAGTAGAGGGCATTTTAAGAATACAAAAATAATGGCATGAAATTAGTTTTAAGTCAAATTTTTTTGTCGTCTTATTTTTTGGCCTCTTAGATAATTCCAAACCCTTGACCAGATTCTAGCCGTGGCTAATTACTGTTAATCCTTTCCCTTGCATACAATATTAATTAACAAAAATTCCCCCAACAATATGCAACGCGCCATGAATTGGGTTTTGAATAAGTATTTTTTGTAGCTGCTATTTTTGACTGCTACTAGAATGATATATATACATACCTTTATAGCAATCTTCCAACTCAACTGCGGCTAATTATCTTTCAAGTTAATGTTTGTTTAGACTTGACTAGTCACCGTTCTCCTTTTCCTTTTGCTGACAAACTAAGTTGATTTTTGTGAGAAAATTCTGCATCAAGAGCATACATTTCTCTAATCAACAAACCATATATTTTACAGAAGGAGGTGGTACGTACAATCAAGACGAACTTGTTCTTTATTAGCTGCTTATTTTCATCCGTTGTTTCTATCATTCTATGATCAAATCTGTTATGGCTCGTGATGGGGCTAGCTCCTCAAGAAGATCCAACTTCACTGAACCACCACCCATGAAACTTTCGGAGCGCTTGGAATACAGACCACCATGTACAAGGGAGGTCTTGAGGGCTCTGCAGGATGAAAATATCAACTTGATTAGCATTAATTGTGGGGAAATCAAAAGAGGAGATACAGTAACGACGAAAGAGTTCATGGAGAGAGTCAAGCAGCAAGGTCTATTTGAAGAAGTTGTCATGACTGTTGTGTCCCTTGATCCCAACTTGAGACGAATACAAGATGAGATTGCAGATGATCTACAAGTGAAGTTGGGAAATGGGAATTTGTTTGAACGGGCAAAGGTGCTTCGTGCTCGAATGTCCAGAGACTCTAGGAGGTTGCTTGTAGTATTTCTTGATGTCCGGGAAATGCTTGATCTTGAGGCCATCGGAATCCCTTATGGGTCACCCAACGGAAACTGTAAGATAATCCTTATGTTGGGACTCCGGGATGAATTTAGTGTGAGCATGAGAGCTCAAAGTAGCTTCCATCTGTCCGGCAACAAGAAGAGTTTACCCATTGGTATTTTGCCAGAGCAAGAAGCTTGGAGTTTGTTTAGAGACATGGCAGGCAGTTCCATTGAATCTCCTGAGCTACGGCTGGTAGCACAACAGGTTCTGAGCGAATGTGCCAGTTTACCAATTGCAATTGCAACTGTTGGAAGGGCACTGCAGCATAAAAGCAAGCAAACGTGGGAGGATGCACTGAGACAACTAAGAAAGCCTTGCCCTGAAAATATTCCAGGGATAGTACAAGAAGTGTATCGGAAAATAGAGTTGAGCTACGAATGTTTAGGGAGCGAGGAAGCGAAATCATTGTTTCTGTTGTGCTGCATATATCCGGAAAGCAGTGATATACTGGTTCATGATTTAGTGAAATTTGGGGTTGGACTTCAGCTGTTTAAAGACATGGATTCCAAAAGGGAAGCAGGAAAGTGTGTAGAAACATTGATTGAGATACTCAAGAGTGGTTTTCTGTTGTTAGAGAGTGATAAGGAAGGATGTGTAAAAATGCATGATACAGTGCACACGGTAGGGTTATCAATAGTAGCTTCAAAGGGGTGGTATTGAAGAGTTGGCCTTTAAAATAAGGATTTTGGGGAACACACACACAATTTAATGTTTTTGGGGGCTGGATCAAATGTAACTTTGACGGGTCATGGAAGGAGCGGTCGAGGAAAGGAGGAGCAGGAATGGATGCAGTCGCTCCAAATTTGAAGGGGTTCCAAAATTTTTGTTATCTAATAATATGGAATAATGTTCTATATTTAAAAAATTGTTTTTGTCATCACTTTAAAATCTCATTGTGCACTCTTTACAAGTGCAATTTTTTCTTTTCTGAATATAATAATTTGGAGTATGATCCTACCCTACAATGAAATTTCTTTTTGTGTTAATAATCACCTAAAAACGAAAAGTGAGATATAGTATGACACGCCCCGATCCCAATATTCCTCGAATACCAGGATAGGCACGTGCTGGCCGACACTCGAGGGTGACGAAAGCCATTTATTGAGTGCAAATGCTGAAAACAAAGGGTAGATAAGGCTTATAAATATAAAAGAATAATGAATATGCATTTAGGTATCGTTTGGTATGCAGACGGGACGGGACGGAACGGAATGGGACGGGACGGGACGGGACAGAACGGAATGGAACGGAGCGGAACGGAGCGGGAGCAAAGATGCCCTTGGATGGAAACAAGGAGGAAGAAGAAGGAGATGGAGAGGTAATAATTTTGTGTTCCACGGATGTGGAACGAGTCGTTCTAGGGGGTGAGCTGGAACGAAAATTCACCCAAAACTCGTCCCGTGGAACAGCTCGTTCCACTCATTTTAGGCGCACCAAACGTGGGACGGAACGCCTTGTCCCACTCTGTTCCGTCCCGTCCCACGTACCAAACAGTACCTTAAGGAACATGTTCAGAGTATACAACTAACTAGAATACTAAAAGAAATAATATAAAATTGAATGAAACAAAGGATGGATCCTACACCAAGAGGACTCGAAGATGCTAATACAGAAGTGCCTTAAAGCCGAGATTGTATGCCTCGATTCTAGGTCCCGAAGGGGGCGCAAAACAAACATGAATGAACCAAATTGAAATATATATAATAATAATAATAAAACAGTTATCAACGTACTAACCCCCTGGTTTTATGAAAACACATATATATCATGATAAACATGAGTTTTCCGAAACCTAGCATGTCATGCAATGTCTCAAATCATAACTTGCATACATAATAATCACTAGTGAATGTCCAATATCTCTCCAGGCCTCATGCCGGCTCCTCGTCCCTGTGCTAGTCTAGAGGAAACACACTTCAAGCCCTTATGCCAACACCAAACAGTTGCCCAAGACGGACTGGAATCTATCCCTTCGTCCCGTAGCGGAATAGGGACCACTAGGTAAGTACAAAACCATTGAACATACATATATTGAAAAGCAACTTCATAGTATAAAGTCATCCATCATCTATACCATAAAGAGCTGTTCTAAACATGTTCTAAATATCATATCGTCATCCATCAAATATTCTATAAGAACACGGGTTATAGGAAAAATAGTAATAATTCAAATTAGCCTCAGTAAGCATGTTATCTCAAAGTGTTTCATAGAACATAATTATTAAATAAACTTTTCCATGTATGCATTTCTGCTATTAAAACATGCATTTTTAGAAGTGGTCCACTCACAGATATTTAGCTGCTGAAAAGCCACGCAACTGGCAGAGACAAAACGCCACAATAAATTGCCCCTAAGCATATAAAGGGTACAATTAATCAAACTCTACTCAAACGATTTAATTTGGGAAAACGGATGTTAAAAACGAGTCCAGGTGTTGAAATTAGCCTATGAGCCTGGACGAAAACTCAAAAAGTCAATGTTGATCGGTCAAAGTCAACGCTCACTGTTGATGGGGTCAATGGTCAGACCGGGTCTGGGTCAACAGGTCAAACTGGTCATGGTTTGGATCCGGATTGGGCCTGAGTTTTGGGCTTGGGTTCTGATAAGTTTGGAGCCTGGGCTGGTGGGTTTGGGCCGAAAGGTCCTAAGTCCAAGGCCTGGTTTTACTTGGGTCTTGGGTTAGGGAAAAATAGGCTAGGCTTCTAAGGGTTTCTGATGGGTTTTAATAGTTGGGTTAAGGGCTTTGAATTGGTTCTGGGTTGGGCCTAAAGGTCCGTGGGTTTTGGGTTCTTAAGGGTTTTGGGATGAGTTTCAAAAGGGTAAAGGGTTGGGCTGCCCAAAAAGGCTGGTGTTTGGCCCACCAGTTTCATGGGTCGTCAGACCCAACGAAGGAGAAGGCCGGAAAACACCTCGAAAGCCTCGTAGGTCGTCGGAACTGGGTAAGATTCAAATGAATATAACTTCTTCAATACTCAACGAAAGTGGGTGATTCAAAAAGGAAAGTTGTAGTACTCAGCGAGATGAAGAGATTGACCTTGCACGCCAGCCAACTCGCCGTGGTTTGGCCAGAAATTGCCTCGAAAGAGGCGGTGTTCTTTGGAAAACTAGGGAAGTTTTCCCCCGTGAGGTTACTACATCCAAACATCGATAACACTTCTTAAAACCACTTCCCAACATACATTAAGACATGATCTACAACTTTAGGATGAGGTTCAAGGCTTACCTTTGCTGAAAGAAGAGGAAACTCACCGAAGAACTTCGGTGAACAGTGTAGGCCGAGAAAAATAGAGGGGTTCAGGGTGTTCTCATTCGATTCCAAGCTCACTAGGGTGTTAATGGAGATACTGATGTTGTTGTGGTGTTGTTTGTTGGTGAGAAAAACCCTCGGAGGGGGCTGAGATAGAGAGAGCCGAGAGGGAGTGATAAGGGAGAGTGAGGGAGAAGAGAGAACTGAGAGAAAAGGGAGGGAAAGGCCGGGGACACAAATCAGGGGTGGGCCCCATTGGGCTCACCATTTAAGACCCAAAAACCATTTTTAAAAGGAAAATATCCCCAAACTTAGTGAAAATACAAAAATATCCTTTTTGTTCCGTAAATCCCGGACGGGTTGTTACAATCTACCCCCTTAAAAGAATTTCGTCCCGAAATTTAAAATCACTTACTAAACTGAAATACTCGAAAATAGGAAGAAGAATATATGTATAAAGAGAAATCAAGTCATAGTGGGTGCATCAAAGAGAATATGCCACACCGTTGCGAACGAGTTGCAAAATCTTCTATCATGCCTCTAAGCTCTTATTTTCTTCCCCATCAGTGTAGAAGTATAAACGTACTTTAATAAGATATAAAGTCAAAATGTATGGACGTAAGGTCAAAAATAAGTACGCAAAACACTACAGCGTCAAAATAGATATGCACTAACATATAGGCCCAAAACTCATGCTTAACTTAAAACTGAAAATGAAAATACTTCCCCCAAAACATTTGTAACATCGAAAACAAATAACTAAAGTAAAGGAAATTAAAATACTTATACTGAAAATTCAAAATTGGAAAATGAGTAGGTCTCGCCTAAGTATACAAACGTCACGTACTCCGAGAAAAGGTGGGTCTTTGGGTTGAGCTCCAACAATCGCAAATCCGTAACAACTGCCATAAACGGGTCTTCTTGCCCACTTGCTTAATGAACCCAACGAATAAGTTTTCAATACCACAGTCAGCCGCTCGCAATATCGATCATGCATTTGTTATCTCGGTATGTAAGCAGTAATTTCCTGAGGGTGCACAATTTCATATGTTGTAAATTTGACTCTCCGAATATCAGTTCACAATACTCATCTGTCAACCAGTATTGCCAATAGAAAACTCTCGTACCATGTCGCAAAAAATGCCATACTCAAATCGAACAAAACAGAAATTGTCGTCGTAAGACTCTATCCAACACCCAGTATACTATCCTCCTTAGTTCTTCCAAATATGACCAACTACTCTTGTGTTTTGCTAACAAAGAACCCATTTGAAAACTTTACCTTGGGATTCAAAAGAAGTGGCTACCATGTTAATAATAAACCCAAAAGATCGAGCCTAGCAAGCAGAAAACGAGAAGTCATATTTCCCAACAAGCAATATTTTTAGGGAGCTGTTGCAGTGCTCAAACCACCTTTCCATTTTTGCATAGTTGTAGATTTCTAGTCAAACAAGATCAAGGTTAGTGGAAAAAAGACCGACTCACATGTAATCAACCTAGAAAGCAAAAAGAGCACACATCTTTCGAAATAAGTGTAAAGATTATCGGATTCTTGCCTCAACCACGCTGTGGTGCCATTCCAGAGTGCACCAAATAGATCTGCCAGAAGCATTTCGACATCCACATACTCACAACAATAAGGTTCAGAAGTGAAGCGGTGGAAAGATCCATTGAGACGAACACATTACGTTGGGAAATAACCGATGTGATGCCTATGAATTATAGTAAGATTGTGATACAATCCGCTGACCTTTTGTACTAAAACCTTCATCCAACTCTTACTAAAAGATTGCACAAACCTCACGTCCACGTGCTCGCGAATAGAAGGATCCTGGTGCTAGGTAATGGAAAGCTGCATTGAGGCGAACACATCACATCATCGAAAAGGTCTACCAGAGTACGATATGATGGTTATGAATTGTAGCAAGATAATGAATGGTGACCATTCAATTTAGCATGAAGATAGTGATGCAATCTGCTGCTCACCTGCACCATAATCTTCACCAGTCTCTTACCAAAATACAACTTAAACCTCATAACCACGTGGAACTCTTTCTAGTAAGTTTGGTAAGCTTGTGAAAAGATTATGCTACCAATTTCTGTCTGAATCGATAAGAATTGGGCGCACACTTCCATCGAATTGATCGATCGTGAATTATTCACTGATTGTGAGAGAAACCATGTCGAGACAGCCAAAAGAACACTCAAGAATTTGAGGATCAAAACAGTCCATTAAATCTAGAGTACAAGATAACTGGATGAGTGAAATCATGCCGAGAACAAACGTTTTTTTTTTTTTTTTTAACCTACAGTAAAATGTTCCGATATGATCCAGTTCATATTAAGAAACAAACCAGCGAAGGAAGGTGAAGATACAAAAATAGTAGTCACTGTTTATGATTATTTGGTCAACCATCACAGTAAGGTTGACTGGTTTCTTAGCCAAAAAGGAAATAGATCTAAGCTCAAGAGTAGTTAAGAACTGCTTAAGATTTGACAAGGCCAAAGACATTTCGAAATTCACAATACTTTGTGAGAGCTAAATCAAAGTTCAAAAATTAAAGATATAACCTCTGAACCAACATAATGACGAAGAAGAAAGATACAAAGCAGCTTGCGTATGCATGCAGTAACACGATTGGCTACCTTAGTGATGCTCTTGAGCAAACCAAAGCTCAATGAGTCCAGAGAAGTTTAGAGCCAAGCTTGATCTTCCACAATGATGAATATGGTGGAATCTCAAGCCATTACATTGAAAATTACAAGCTGAACAGTTAGTGGACAAGAGCACTGGTCGGTTGGGTTACAAGCAAGAGGCTTAAGTTCACCTCTGCCGAAAAGTACATGGACACTAAGCTAGGGTTTACCGCTTAGTACTAGACCGAGGTGAAGTTCAAGGAGGTTGTTTATCCAACCAAGACTGGATATTCATCATCCTAATCCAACAACAACAACAACAAGAATCGCAACTCTTTGGAAATTGGTGAGAATAGCGTATACTACTGAAGATTCACTTAAGAAATTATCTAATTTAAACAAAGTCAACGCCTGAAGAATTTGGTGTAAAGCTGACGGTCGAAGGTTAAGGAACTTGACTTCGGGATTGGAATAAGTAAGAAGGTTATCAATAGAATAATCGCCGAGAATTGTTCTAAAGATCCGCACAAATTTCTTCAGTGGTAATGAGTCCGAGAACATTGATTTGCTCCCACTAACTACCACTTACTAAACTTCATAACAACTAGCGCTTACTCGCCTTCTCCAACACGTACTTCGAATGTTTCGAGTAATTGTCACTAAGATATGACTCTGCCCGCCATTCCCAGGGAATGCATGTCACAGAGTACAACACCACTTCAGATCTTCCAAATTCGACTCACTTAGGTTTCTCTATTTCCCAACACTCCTAGGTAGATCCAATTATGTCCGCAATTCCTAGGGAATGCATGTTGCAGAGTATCGATCCAATGTTGAAATTCATCCAACAATCCACTTCATCACTACTGAGACACAATCCCAACACAAATTCTTGTATTTCAACCAGAATGTGACAATTCAAACAGAGAAAGGTTTGCACAACAGCGCCGAATGGCACCAAATCTGGAAGTTGTGACATCCAAATGATGTCATGATAGGCACACTACTACAGTGACAAAAGATCCTAAATATGCTTTGAATAAACCATGCTTTGATACCAATCTGACACACCTCGATCACGATATTCCTCGAATACCAGGATAGACACGTGCTGGCCGACACCTGAGGGTGACGAAAGCCATTTATTAAGTGCAAATGCAGAAAACAAGGGGTAGATAAGACTTACAAATATAAAAGAATAATGGATATGCATTTAAGGAACATGTTCAGAGCATACAACTAACTAGAACACTAAAAGAAATAATATAAAACTGAATGAAACAAAGGATAGATCCTACACCGAGAGGACTCGAAGATGCCAATGCAGAAGTGCCTTGACACCGAGATTGTATGCCTCGATTCTAAGTCTTGAAGGGAGCGCAAAACAAACATGAATGAACCAAGTTGATATATATATATATATATATATATATATATAATAAAACAGTTATCAACGTACTAACCCCCAAATTTTATGAAAACACATATATATCATGATAAACATAGGTTTTCCGAAACCTAGCATGTCGTGCAATGTCTCAAATCATAACTTGTATATATAATAATCACTAGTGAATGTCCAATATCTCTCGAGGCCCTATGCCGGCTCCCCGTCTCTGAGCAGACAGTCAGAGGAAAATTACACCCAGGCCCCATGCCGGCTCCTCATCCCTATGCTAATAGCTAGAGGAAACACACTCCAGGCCCTATGCCAACACCAAACCATTGCCCGGGACGGACCAGAATCTATCCCTTCGTCCCGTAGCAGAATAGGGACCACTAGGTAAATACAAAACCATTGAACATACATATATTGAAAAGCAACTTCATAGTATAAAGTCATCCATCATCTATACTATAAATAGGTGTTCTAAACATGTTCTAAATATCATATTGTCATCCATCAGATATTCTATAAGAACACGGGTGATTAGGAAAAATAGTAATAATTCAAAATAGCCTCAGTAAGCATGTTATCTCAAAGCGTTTCATAGAACATAATTGTTAAATCATGCTTTTCTATGTATGCATTTCTACTATAAAACATGCATTTTTAGAAGGGTCCACTCACAGATACTTAGCCGCCGAAGAGCCACACAACTAGCAGAGACAGAAAGCCACAACAAATTGCCCCGAAGCACATAAAAGGTGCAATTAATCAAACTCTACTCAAATGATTTAATTTGGGAAAACGAATGTCAAAAACAGGTCCAGGACGTCGAAATTAGCCTATGAGGGCTCTTAGACGAAAACTTGAAAAGTCAACGTTGATCGTTGATCGGGTCAACAGTCAAACCGGGTTCTGGTCAACAGGTCAAACAAGTTTAGGCTTGGATCCGGATTGGGTTTGAGTTTTGGGCTTGGGTTCTGATGGGTTTGGAACCTGGGCTGGTGGGTTTGGGCCAAAAGGTCCTAGGTCCAAGGCCTAGTTCTACTTGGGTTTTGCGTTGGGGAAAAATAGGCTGAACTCCCAAAGGTTGCTGATGGGTTTTAATAATTGGGTTAAGGGCTTTGAATTGGTTCTAGGTTGGGCCTAAAGGCTCGTGGGTTTTGGGTTCTTAAGGGTTTTAGGATGAGTTTCAAAGGGGTAAACTGCTGGTTTTTGGCCCACCAGTATTATGGGTCGCTAGACCCAATGAAGGAGAAGGCCGGATTTCGGCCAGAAAACTAAACAAACTTTAAACAATTTTGTCAATACTCAACGAAATCGAGTGATTCAAAAATGTAAATCATAGCTCTTGACGAGACGAAGAGAATGGTACCTGCACAATGGCTAACTCAATGTGGTTTGGCCGGAAAACACCTCAAAAGCCTCGGAGGTCACCGGAAACTGGGTAAGATTTAAATGGATATAACTTCTTCAATACTCAACGAAATTAGGTGATTCAAAAAGGAAAGTTGTAGTACTCAGCGAGACGAAGAGATTGATACCTACATACCGGCTAACTTGCAATGGTTGGCTGGAAATTGCCTCGAAAGAGGAGGTGCTCGTCGGAAAACTAGGGAAGTTTTCCCCTGTGAGGTTCCTACATCCAAACATCGATAACACTTCTTAAAACCACTTAAGACATGATCTACAACTTTTGGATGAGGTTCAAGGCTTACCTTCATCGAAAGAGAAGGAAACTAGCCGGAGAACTTCGGTGAACAATGTAGGCCAAGAGAAAGGAAGGGTTTCGGGGTGTTCTCATTCGATTCTAAGCTCACTAGGGTGTTAATGGAGATATTGATGTTGTTGTGGTGTTGTTTGTTGGTGAGAAAAACCCTCGGAGGGGGCTGAGCTAGAGAAAGCTGAGAGAGAGTGATAAGGGAGAGTAAGGTAGAAGAGAGAATTGAGAGAAAAGGGAGAGAGAGACCGGGGACACAAATCAGGGGTGGGCCCCCTTGGGCACACCATTTAAGACCCCAAAACCATTTTTAAAAGGAAAATATCTCCAAATTTGATGAAAATACAAAAATACACTTTTTGTTCCATAAATCCGAAAAGGATCTTCTGTGATATGCCTGCCTTGGCAGATAGAGATAACATTCTTCTGAGGTACACCCGCTTGGGAAACTCTTTGATTTGCCAACCACAACAGAGAAACATGCATGGTCGAATCTTTGGAGGGTTTTTGATGCACCGAGCATTTGAATTGGCTTTCTCCACCGCTTATGCCTTTGCAGGCTTGGTGCCTTGCTTTTTGGAAGTCGATCATATTGACTTCTTGAAACCTGTGAGTACCACATTGGCATCCTTCTTTTCAATTGTTCAAATCATCCATATCATCAGTATTTTCTCTTTTGATCGAAATTTCAACGCATTTTCTGGTCTCTTTTTGTTCTTTATTCCATCCAAATTATCTTCATTCTGTTTATTTTGCATTTGGATGGACCCCGATTGTGACTTTGAGGAGATGGAAGAATAAGCTGGTTTTCTATTCATCCATTTCTGTGCTAGAAATATGTTTGAAACATGTATGTTTTAATGAGCAGGTGGACGTTGGAGATTTCCTGTGTTTCAGATCATGTGTTCTTTACACAGAAGTTCAAAATCCTGATCAGCCTCTAATTAACATCGAAGTTGTGGCCCACGTTACGAGGCCTAAGCTCAGGTCTAGTGAGGTATGTTCCTTTAACTGCACGTTCAAAGAATTAAGGGCAGTTTGGGATTGCCGTGCTTTTTTAATAAATTGCTTCTGTTGTATTTTGAAAATAATTATCTATAAAATAAAGCAGTTGAGCGTTTGATAAACTGTATTTTTAAAAGTGATGTGAGTACAAAATGCAATGTAAAAACATTATCTAGAAGAATAAATAGTGTCATTGTTTAAAATGTTCTAAAAGCTCAACTCCACTTTTTATTAAAAGAAAATTAATGAAAATGGTTTGAAAACTTTAAGTTTTAACGATAAAGACAAAATAAAGGGTAAAGTGAATAGTACTAGAATTGACTTTTTAATGTAAAAATGTGATTTTTCGTTAAAGTGAACAGTACCATGAGCTTTTCGTTAAAGTTCCCTTTTATTAAAGCAACTTTTAAAAGTAACCTCCAAATTGCTTTTAAAAGTTGCTGTCTGGAGACCATTACTTTTAAAATAAGAAGTATATTTTCTTTTTAACAAACACTTTTTTACTGATTAACTTTAAGTAAAGCAGCTTTTCGTGAAAAAAAAAAAAAAAAAAAAACAATACCAAATTGAGCCTAAGAAAGCTTAAGTTTTAGCTTTAAATCAATGCCATTAGAAGTTGACCTTGCTACAGTTTCAGTTACCCAATTCGGTTAAGGAACTTTCGTTTTTATGGTGGTCTATTCGCTGCAATTCCAGTTACATATTGCTTTGCTCGTGTTTGAAACAGGTTTCAAATACATTTTATTTCACTTTCACCGTACGCCCGGAGGCAAAGGCCACAAAAGATGGATTCAGGTTACTGAATGTGGTTCCAGCAACAGAGGAAGAAGCACGCCATATAGTAGAACGCATGGATGCTCAAGCCCTGATTTCAACAAAATATTCAATCAGCAAATAAACACAAATAGTTACGAGATAGTTGATATGTATTTTAAACAGCAAGGGGTGCTATTTATCTCAGAGTTACATATATGTTGTGCCTGTTAAACAAAGGAGAGTGTTATTCACACACAACTTTTTATTTCCCACACTATTAATTCTTGTTCTTTGATATTCTCTAATTTATTAGATTCGACAGTCGTGATAATGTGTGAATAGCACCATCCTAGATAAAATGTCATGTAAAATTGTCATTCAACTATTCAAGGCCCCATATTTACTTTTCATCTCTGATTTGTGAAGCAAAATCAATGGTGCATATCCATATTGTGCGTGTCAAAGAATTACTATTTAGAGCTTGTGGGGACACGGTTAGTTAGGGCAATATGTCTGTTGCCTTGCATCTAGTGTCATATCCCGGCCTGGGGCGGATCACTTCCCGGGCCCGCTCCACCACCGTAGCACGATATTGTTCGCTTTGGGTTTACCATTCCCTCACGGTTTTATTTTTGGGAACTCACGAGCAACTTCCCAGTGGGTCACCCATCATGGGATTGCTCTAGCCCCCTTCTCGCTTAACTTCGGGGTTCCTACGGAACTTGAAGCCAGTAAGCTCCCAAAAGACCTCGCACTAGGCAGGGATGAGAATATACATATAAGGATCACTCCCTTAGGCGATGTAGGATGTTACAATCCACCCCCCTTAGGGGCCCGACGTCCTCGTCGGCACACACGCGACCAGGGTTAGGCTCTGATACCAAATTGTCACATCCCGGCCCGGGACGGATCACTTCCCGGCCCAGGGCGGATCACTTCCCGGGTCCGCTCCACCACCGTAGCACGATATTGTCCGCTTTAGGCTTACCATTCCCTCACGGTTTTGTTTTTGAGAACTCACGAGCAACTTCTCAGTGGGTCACCCATCATGGGATTGCTCTAGCCCCCTTCTCGCTTAACTTCGGAGTTCTTACAGAACCCGAAGCCAGTGAACTCCCAAAAGGCCTTGCACTAGGTAGGGATGGGAATATACATATAAGGATCATTCCCCTGGGCGATGTGGGATGTTACATCTAGGGTTCCAATACCCAATCCTTGTATTTTTTTTTTTCACACCCCCATCTCTTTTTTATTTTTTGAATAATCGATATTAAAAATATCTTAGTATTTTTTTTTTAACAATTAATATTATTTACACTAAGAGATGCGGAAGGCTTAGCCTCACAATGGTCTAGCAATAATGCGGTTCAAATTTGTCTTTGGCAATAATAGAACTAAGATATCTTATTTATTAGTCATGAAAAATACTACTAGATTATAATACTAAGTGGCAAGGAAAAGTTAATATTCGAACACACTAATTTTACTAGGCTGACATGTTCTTCTGTCTCTTCTACCCCACAAAATTCTCCCTTTTCTTATAAAGAAATTAGAAAAAGAATTTCCAGAAAAAGTAAATAAATAAATAAAAAGGTAATTTATCCTTGTTGCTGTCCCTTTATTTACTTTGGGTGGTTAAAGTCAAAGATGAGGATATACCACAAGAAAGTAAAAACTAGGGTCCAGTTATAAGGAAATTAGTGTCTTTACACGAAAAGGGTTGGACATTTCAACGCTCACTTTCCGTCATTTTTTCAAATTTGCAGTAAGCAGCAGAATCTGTTCCCTTCAAACATGCATGCGATATCATGTCATCTGCCCCTAAATTGAAAACGGCCTCTCTTCATGGATTCTTTTCCCAAGAGGAGCGGACCTCATATGTTTCAACAAGTAATTCGGGCAAACTAAATTTGACTCCTTTAAAGTTTTTACCCTGTCACTTTATTACCTCTATTTTTAAAACGTTGCAATGGTATCTTTGAAGTTGTATTTTTTTATAACCATGCCACATAATCCAAAAAACTTGATTGTTAATTGATGACGTGATAAATGCAATACCAATATCCAGAAAAAACTTTTATGGCACAAGTCAGGCCAAAAATGAATCGTCTATATTTGAGTATCATCTAGCCTCACGTAAGTACATCTTAAATGCATGAGATTTCATTCCTTGTGAAAGTGCCATGTGACAAAAAGAAAAAGTAAATAAGGATAAAAAAAATTTCAAAAAATATCAAACACTACTGTTGCTATGATTAAATTACAAAGAATAATTGGGGATAAACGAGTTATGGAGAATAAATTAGTGTTTGATACAATGCAGAACAGTTACATAAACTACGTACAGTCAAGAGTTCTGCTTCCATTGAACACTTGTGTGATCGATCTTCCCAGAAACTATCTAATCCGAATTACAACTTATTCTTCGTTTTCGTTAATCTGTATGTGACAAAGTTCTTTCTTTCTTTGCCTTTGGTATTGCTTTGTTTGCGATTTCTGATCATAGTCACCGGAAGAGGAAGAAAAAGGAAAATACAAAAATGGACATTTGCATTTCAGCTGTTACCAAACTGGCTCAATTCACTGTGACTCCGGTTTGGCGAAAGTTAAGTTATTTGATCCATTACAAGAGTAATGTAGAGCATCTCACTGGTCAAACTGAGAGGCTGGTTGGCAAAAGAGACGGGGTGAAACTCGCCGTGGAGGCAGCAGCCCGGAATTTGGAGACAATCGCTCCTGAAGTTGAGACCTGGCTGTGCAATGTAAACAAGACTATACAAGAAATGGAGACTTGTTTTGGAAACGAGTTGAGAAGCCAAGGTGTTTTAATGGTTGGTATTCGAAGTTGAAGTCGCGGCGTTACTTGGGTGAGAAGGCTAAGAAGATGAGTTTGGTGGTTGACAACCTTCTTAGAGATGGGAGTTTCACGAGGGTTTCGTATCCTGCTCCTCCCCCGGAGATAGGGTTTTCGGCAATACATGAAGGGGGCAGCTCCTCAGGAACATCTGACCCTGCTCCTCCAGCAGCAGCAATGGAACTTTTTGAGGGTCCTCAGCATAGATTACCCTATTCAGAGGAGATCCTGAAAGCTCTGCAAGATGACAACATCGATATGATTGGTATTGCTGGAATAATTGAACGGGAAGATGCTGTAACAACGAAAGAGTTCATCCGGAGAGTCAAAGAGCAAGATTTATATCAAGAGGTTGCGGTGGCAGTTGTGTCCCAGAATCCTGACCTGAAAAGGATACAAGGTGCAATAGCAGATGTGCTGGGGCTGACTTTGGAAGATAGAAGTTTACTTGAGCGAGCAGAGAAGCTAAATTGTAGAATCATGTCCATGGACTCGAATAGGCTCGTCGTGATTTTGGCTGATGTTTGGGAATTACTTGATTTGGTGGCAGTTGGAATCCTTGGTGGTGATAGCGAGGAAAGATGCAAGATCATATTGGTAGCCAAACATCCGAATGTCTCCAGTGAGGTGAGAACTAAAAGAAATTTCAAATTGTGATTGGCATCTACATCCGTAAAATGCAATATACATTTTGAATCAAGAAATTTAACCATTAGAGATGTAATGAATGCTCTAACCGATGATCAAATCAATCCGGTTGTGATATGTGGAATGGGAGGTATTGGCAAGACAACTTTGGTGAAAGAAGTTGGGAAGAGAGCAAAAGCATTGAATCTATTCGATGAGGTTGCATGGCAGTTTTTGCCCAAACTCCTGACTTAAGTCATATTCAACAGGAAATCGCAGATTTTCTAGGTCTGAAGCTCACAGGGCTAAGTTTAGCTGGAAGAGCAAACGAGTTAAAAGAAAGATTATCGGGTAATAAGAGGGTCCTTGTAATATTAGATAATGCTTGGACACAGATAGATATGGAGGAAGCAGGAATTCCATCTTGCTGCAAAATCTTGGTGTCATCACGAAATCAAGATATATTCAATGACATAGAAACCAAAAGGAATTTTCCGATCAGTGTGTTGCCAGAACAAGATGCATGGAGTTTGTTTAAGGATATGGCAGGCACATCCATTGAATCTCCTCAGCTACGTCTTGTAGCGCAACAGGTTTTAAGAGAATGTGCTGGTTTGCCAATCGCAATTTCGACGGTGGGAAGAGCGCTAAGGCATAAAAGCAAGAAAATGTGGGATGATGCACTCACACAACTAAGAAACACTTGCCCAGAAAACATTCAGGGAATGATACATGAAGTTTACCGGAAAATAGAGCTAAGTTATGAATGTCTAGAAAGCGAGGAAGCCAAATCATGTTTTTTCCTGTATTGTCTGTATCCAGAAAGCAGCAATATACCGGTTGAAGATTTGGTTAGATATGGTTTCGGGCTTGGGTTGTTTAAAGGTATGTATTCACTGGTACAAGGAAGAAACCATGTAGAAACGTTGGTTGACATACTCAAAAGTTGTTTTTAGTCGTTAGACAGCAACAAGGAAGGGTGTGTCAAAATGCATGATGTGGTGCGGGATGTAGCCTCATCAATAGCTACTGATGGTAAAGAAGGATTTGTGACCAGACACAAGGTGGAATTGAAGGATTGGCCTGGCAAATACTCTTCTAGTACACTCATTATAACCAATAAAACTCGTATGCATAACGAGCTTTTATTAATTTCATGCACTGATAAATGTCCATCGGAACCACCTGCCACTATTCTGAGAACAAGTGAAGGCATCAAGGTTTTAGCCATCAGAAGCAGATTTCCACTGGCAATACTACCATCGATTCCACTGTTGAGAAACCTTCAAACGCTGTGTCTAGAGAATTGCAATCTCAGTGTGGAAGCTAGATCCGTAATTGGAGAGCTAAGGACACTCATGGTACTCATCTTTTGTGGATCCAACATCAATCAATTTCCTGATGAAATTAAAAACTTGTCAAATCTAAGGTTGCTAGATTTGACAGGATGCAGAGTTATGAAAATTCCAATGGGTGGTATATGAAGTTTAGCTCATCTAGAAGAACGGTACCTGTGGAATAGCTTCGAGCAATGGGAGGTTGAGGAACAAAACCAAGCACAACTACATGAAGGGAACAGATGTAAGGATCGAAATCAAGGTTCAAAAATCAGGGGCACCACTTGTCATTTTGCTCCAGAGCTAAGTTCCTTGTCCCAATTGACTACTTTAGAATTGCTCTGAATCCACTTGTAAAGCCAACAGGGGTGCAGTTTGATCAGCTTGAAAGATTTAAGATCTCAATAGGATGGTGGAACAGAAGTTGTTGGGATGTGAATCCCTGTGAGAACTACTTGAGACTTAGCTATGCAGCAGAATCTCCTGCAGAGAGTAGAATAACTATATTGCTAGAGAAAACTAACGTTCTAGAGTTAGACATGCAGTATATGAGCAGAACTCTTAATGACCTGAGAAGAAACTGTTGTTTAAACTTGAAATCTCTAAAGCTCTGCAATTCTGAAGATCTACAATATGTCTTTGACATGGGATATGTAAGTGTTTTCCCTGTCCTGCATACGCTGAAGATCGATGAACTAAAGGAGCTCAAGGCGGTTTTTCATGGCGAGCTTCCAGTGGGGTCATTTAACGAACTTAGAGAGTTATTTTTATCGTCTCTACCTAAATTAACACATTTATGGAAGATACCAAGTCAATTTGATCAGTGCCTAAGAAATCTGAGATGCGTTAAGGTGAGTAGACTTTACGTTCTAAAATATCTCTTCCTATTATCAGTAGCTAGCCATCTGAAGCAACCCGAAGAGCTAGACATACAAAATTGCCTCTATTTGCAAGAGATTGTTGCCTTAAAAGATCAGACCTCAAAACAAATTGTTGCCATTGAAGAATCGGAAAATGAGGAAGAAGTCAACGAGATCAGTCACCCCAATTTGCTACGCTTGAATCTTGAAAGACTACCAGGGTTCGTTGGGATCACCAAAACTATATGTAAGATCAACTTTCCTGGATTGATCACGTTGAAGTTGGAATGCCTACCAAAAATCATGAGTCTTTCTCCAGATAGTTTGGCTCCAGAAAGTAGCATTGCTTATGCCACAAAACAACATTTATTTGGCATCAAGGTATTTTTCCTTTTCTTAAGATTGTAATATGTTACGCCAGCTGCTAAAGTCTCTGTCAAAACTTGTATAAAATCAGGATAGCTCAGCTGACAATCTCTTTAATTCAACAGGTTAGTCCCTTTTGGCAGCTACGATTTGTGATGGTGAAGGAATGTGCTAAGCTATCTGGTATTTTCTCGTTCAGTTGGATGCAGGACTTACAAAGTCTGGAACAACTTGAAGTAAGGGAATGTAGGTCACTGGAAACAGTTCTCGACTTTGAAGATCTAGAAATGAAACAGAATCCAAAGCAATTCCCTGCACTGTTCTCTGACTTAGAAATAATGGAGTAGAGTAAGCTACCCTTATTGAGCAGGGAGCTTCTACCCTACTCTTTCAATGAACTCCAAGACCTGCATGTGTCCGGTTGTAGAAACTTAGTTCTTCTGGTAACAGTTGAGGTGTAGAATAGATTGCATAAACTAGACAAGTGAATTGTGAAAGGTTGCAATTCCCTGGAAGAGATTTTTGAGTCCACGGGATCAAATGCCAACGAACAACCCACTGCAACACTTCCTCAGTCGGGCGAAACATCTTCAATTTCCCAACCTCAAATGACGCAAATCAGGGGTTCCAATCGAATTCAAGGCTTTCAGTTAACATCATTACACATTTCTGGTTGTGGCAGTTTGGAGTTTCTACTCTCTCCTTCCATTGCTAGGGGTATGGTGAAGCTCGAAGGTCTATCCATAATTGAGTGCAAGAAGATGGAAGTAGTAGTTGCAAAACCGCTAGCGGATGAAGAATCAGAGGATAACAGCTTGCTCCCTCAGCTAAGTTATTTGGAACTTCGCGCTCTACCAAATCTCATAAGTTTTTCTCAAGGCAAATGTAATTTAGATTGGCCATCACTGGAAGAGTTAACTGTTGAAGAATGCCCTCGAATGGAGAATTTATGTTTAGGTTCCCTTAGCACACCAAGGGAAGTGAAGTTAAGTATCAGCGGGGCAAGTGAAAATCTTCAGAAGGAGCTGAACGACAGTCGGAAAGAAACTTAATCTTCAGAAGTATTTTGCATTTCTGGTGTCCAGTAAACAACTTCGAAGTTATATGTTGAGTTTTGCCTTCTAAGTAGGTTTACCATCCTTAGAAGGGATATGGTCACACATCCAAATATGGATTTCTAGAGTTATCGAACTTATGAGATTTGGTACATCTGGTCACACATGTAGAGTTTTTTTACCTTATAATTCTTATAAGTTCTTCTGGTATATGTATTTTGGGACATAGATACATATATAGCCAACAATTTTCTAGGATATTAAGCTACAAACCACTAAAAACAAATATTAAGATGATATTGTTTGTGCTAACGGCATTTTGCAGCTTTTGATTTTAGAATGGTTTTCAAATAGTTCGCATGATTTTAATTTTATTATTTTACACCGAGACTTCAAAATTATATCAATTTATATCATTGGTTTGGTCAGTCGTCTCTTCAACCCTAGGGTTTTACAATTGTTTCAATTTATACCTTTCGTTTTGTTAAACGTCTATCAACTGTTAATGGCTGGCGTGAAAAGTGCGGGACACATGAAAGGGCATTTTTAGAATACAAAAAAAAATGACGCGTATATATATATATATATATATAGATTTTTTTTTTTTTTAAGATGCTATTTTTGACTGCTACTAAAATGTTTGCTGCGGCAAATTACTTTTCAAATTAATGTTTGTTTAGACTTGACCATTCAGTTTCCTATTCCCTTTGCTGACAAACTAAATTGATTTTTGTGAGAAAAGTCTGCTTAAAGACCATACATTTCTCTATTCAGAGTTTCCTATTCCTCTTGTTCTTCATTCGCTGCTTATTTTCATTCATTGTTTCTGTCATTCTATGATCAAATCTGTTATGGCTCGTGACGGGGCTAGCTCCTCGAGAAGATCCAACTTTACTGAACCACCACCCATGAAGCTTTCGGAGCGCTTGGAATACAAACTACCATGTACAAGGGGGATCTTAAGGGCTCTGCAGGATGAAAATATCAACTTGATTAGCATTAATTGTGGCGAAATCAAAACAGGAGATACAGTAACGACGGAAGAGTTCATGGAGAGAGTCAAGCAGCAAGGTCTATTTGAAGAAGTTGTCATGACTGTTGTGTCCCTTGATCCCAACTTGAGACGAATACAAGATGAGATTGCAGATAATCTACAAGTGAAGTTGGGAAATGGGAATTTGTTTGAACGGGCAAAGGTGCTGCGTGCTCGAATGTCCAGAGACTCTAGGAGGTTGCTTGTAGTATTTCTTGATGTCCGGGAAATGCTTGATCTTGAGGCCATCGGAATCCCTTATGGGTCACCCAACGGAAACTGTAAGATAATCTTTATGTTGGGACTCCTTGATGAATCTAGTGTTAGCATGAGAGCTCAAAGTAGCTTCCATCTGTCCGGCAACAAGAAGAGTTTACCCATTGGAATTTTGCCAGAGCAAGAAGCTTGGAGTTTGTTTAGAGAGATGGCAGGCAGTTCCATTGAATCTCATGAGCTACGTCCGGTAGCACAACAGGTTCTGAGTGAATGTGCCGGTTTACCAATTGCAATTGCAACTGTTGGAAGGGCACTGCAGCATAAAAGCAAGCAAACGTGGGAGGATGCACTGAGACAACTAAGAAAGCCTTGCCCCGAAAATATTCCAGGGATGGTACAAGAAGCGTATCGGAAAATAGAGTTGAGCTACGAATGTTTAGGGAGCGAGGAAGCGAAATCATTTTTTCTGTTCTGCTGCATATATCCGGAAAGCAGTGATATATTGGTTCATGATTTAGTGAAATTTGGGGTTGGACTTCAGCTGTTTAAAGACATCGATTCCAAGAGGGAAGCAGGAAAGTGTGTTGAAACATTGATTGAGATACTCAAGAATAGTTTTATGTTGTTAGAGAGTGACAAGGAAGGATGCTTAAAAATGCATGATATAGTGCACAAGGTAGGCTTATCAATAGTAGCTTCAAAGGGATGGTATTGAAGAGTTGGCCTTTAAAATCAGGATATGGGGGAACACACACAAAATTTTTTTTTTTTGGGGGGGGGGTTTGGTGTGGTGGGATCAAATGTAACTTTGACGGGGCATGGGAGGTGTGGTCCAGGAAAGGAGGAGGTGCAGTTGCACAGGCCACAAATTTGAAGGCCCTCCAAAATTTGTCATCTAATATTATGTAATAATGTTTTATATTTAAAAAATTATTTTTGTCAGCATTTAAAAATCTCATTGTACACTCTTTACAAGAGTTGTTTTCCTTTCCAAATATAAAAATTTGGAGGACAATGAGATATTTTCAGTGTTAATAATAATACTCTAAAAACGATATTTTTATTTTTTCAATTTTATTATATAATGATATGTTATATTCAATGAAACTTTAAAGTTAGAGTTTTGAAGTTTTTTTTTTTCATGTTTGGTTGTTTAAAATTGAACTTCTTTTGCTTATTTAGAAAAGGTTATGTTTGTAGCTCTTTTTACTTATAATTAATGACATTTATAAACTTGCAATAAGTGAGTGGTAAAGTTTGTTTTAATTTAACATATTGTTTTTTAGCATCAATATATTATTCTACTTTTTAAAAATATTTTAAGGAATGGTCATTTTATAAATTTTGCACAGGGTCCCAAAATCTCAGAGACTGCCTTGGGATTGTTAGGGATGCTTCTAGGGCTTTTGTGGCTGGAGTCTCTGAACCGCTTGAAAACGTTGCATCGCCGCTGCAAGCTGAGCTTCTAGCGGCAAGGAAGGCAGTGGTGTTTGTCCAGGAACTCTACCCAACTGGAGTCGATGTTATTTTCGAAGGAGATTCGAGCATCACGCTTGCTGCTGTGCAGCGGTGTGAGGAAGATTGTTCATTGTTGGGACCTATCATTAATGATGTGTGTACTTTCCTCCTTGCTTTCACTCAGCCAAAGTTGAATCTTGTTAGCGGGTAATAATGCAGCTCATATGCGCTTGCTCGTACCGAAATTGGAATACAATATGAAGTGTCATGGTTCAAGGAACAACCGGACATCATCATTGACATCTTACTAGAGGATATTTCTAGTTAATGTGGCTGCTTTATAATTACATTTCCTTGAGGATAGATTCCCTTATGTTGTTTGTGCATGACGCTCTTTTTCTCTTGAATCGGGTTGAAATTCCGACAAAGTTTTTATTGAGGCTCATTATACACGCTATTTCCCTTGATTAATGAATATCGTACCATTTCAACAAACAAACAAAAAAAAAAAAAAAAAAAAAAAACACACACACACACACATACATTCAAAACCAGTGATCACCTTAGTAATCTATTGGTTAAAGATATTTTTAGTAGGTTAAATTGACTTGCAAGGAGCTTATAGCTCAAGTGCTTAAAATGTATTTATTCATATACTTAAAGTTTATGTTCAAATATCATGGACGACAAATTTAATATCAATTTATTTCTTCACTCATTGTAAAAATCGTTGCATCAATATGTACAAGAATGCTCAAGTGCCAACTGGGTAGTATTTTAATACGAAACTAACCACTTGTTTAGACTCGCTAAGCAATATTTCTTAAAATTTGAACCAATCATTTTCTAGATTATTATTGAAAGATCATCTTTACAAAAATTCATTGAAAACATAAGCTATTTAGTTATCTAATTGTGACATGATAAATAGACGATGACGAAGTTATTGATAAACAATGAAATGTTTTACCATAATAATTGAATGGCAAAATAGTTTCTAATTTGAATGAAATTTTGCGTGAATGATGTAGTTATAATAACCTAAAATTTGAACTGTTTAGATCATAAAATTTATTGTGGAGCAGGCAAATAGTGAGTACTTTTGCCAATTTCCAATAGCTTCTGTGTTCTTTTTTATTTTTTTATTTTTTGTCAACAGCATATATATAATATCTCAAATCTTTGTCAATTCAGTGCAATTGTATAATAGAGATTCTGCTTATAAAATAAGCTGGTTTTTGTCTAGCATTTTAAAAAAGTGCAAAAGTTAAAAAAGTAGTTGAAATGGAAACATATTCCTCGAATTTAAAGAAGAGTAACAATTTTCTCGCTCCTTTTATTTTCGATCGAATTAAAAGAAGAGTAACAAATACGCAATTAGCATAAGTGCAAATAGAAAAATTAGAATGTAAGATCATCACGTTTGCTTTCTCTTCTTGAACTCCTCTAAATTATTTAGGTTCGATTTTTATTAAAAATAAATCAAAAATTTTATTTGAACTCATCTAACATCTTTCTACATCCAACTTAAATTTAAAATGTAAAATTTCTTATAATTACCATCAAGTATTAAATAAAATTAACAAGAAAAATAAGATTTATCAATAAATCCACCCCTAATAATTAAGCTCTAATTATTACTTAATTTTTCTTCTACGTTTTGTTTTGACAAAATCCCTAAGACTCTCCCATTGAGAAAAAGCTAACTTATTTTTTTATAGGTAGACGATAATCTAGAAGTTTTGGATTCTTCAACTAAGTACGAATGGATTTATGCAAGAATTGAATTATTGTTTTACATGTCATATATAACGTTATGACTCTGTTGCCTATGCAAGTTACCCTATCCTTTTGTTCTTTTTGGCCTCTGGTCAGCTTTGCTTCATTGACAAGACAACCGATTGTCCTCTTTCTGTTGTTTAGTATTATTTTGTAGGCAAAGGAAGTGGTGATAAGCTCATATTTATATAAATTTTACATCAAATTCACTTGTCTTTTTTTAGTTAGTTCTTTATATTTTTGAGCTATTTATTTTGTTTTTGTGTTTTGTAGGATTTGTCAAGTAAAGAAAAGAAAAATAGCACAAGTGGAATTTTAAGTAACAAATTCGTCAAAACTGCCTGTGCAGGTCAGCTGACTTTGGAAGCAAGTTGCGGACAGCTCAGAATGAATTAGATAATGAGCCTTATATGTTGGAAAGCTACAGATGTCTATTTTCTGGAGTATTTCACAGATTTTTAATATCATTTTTGTAGAAGAAGTTATGGTCGTTTTAACACAAAAAGGTTCT